CCAAACTCACAAGTTTTGTATTTTGTCTGTTTGTTTGCTTTGTTCTGTTAGAAATGTAATACAATGGACTTGTTGCTCTGACACGACAAATAACAAATAAAAAACCCCAAACATTTCTTTATCCATGAATCCTGGGGTATTTTTTGTCTTTGATGTAATATTCTTTTAACTGTCTGTAATGAAACCAGTTTACTTGTATGTTTTTGAAGATCAGTTGCATGTATTTCCACAACACTTCATTCAGTTTATGAAAAAAAATGATGGATAGATGGAAGGGGGAAAACCAGATGTCTCTTTGCAGAGCAAAAGAAGCAGAACACTTTTCCCGAGTCTTCTTCATGCAAGTATCATACCAAACGATTTTCATGGTGAGACTGAACATGTAAGATTAATGAGACCATCTTGATTTTTGGCACCTTGGCTAGAAATTTATTGTAATAAATGAAGCCTATGAATATTGGGAATCAATACTGCTTTGTGAGGTGCAGCTCAAGAAAGATTAGCCTGCTTCTTTTCAATTAAATATAATCTGGGAAATATCATGAAAAGAGAAAGAAAATGCAATTAGGCAAGAGGAGGTACTTTGTTCAAACGTGACACCTTGGAAACGAAATATTCTGTTGGAATGCACCTTGTTCAGAGCTTTGGTGGTTCCATGCCCTTGGGGAAGATAAATTGGTTCATTGGTAACCAGATTACCCATACTGAAGAAAGTTTATGAAATTTAGCTTGTTCATTCTGCAAAAGAAAGAAAATCAGCTCAAATTAGTCATGGGCAAGCATGCGTGGCTGGAGGAAGGCTCAAGGGGTTCAAGGAGTTGTTCGATTGTTGTTGTTGTTCATTTGTGACCTCATGGACCAGCCCACGCCAGAGCTCCCTGTCGGCCGTCACCACCCCCAGCTCCTTCAAGGTCAGTCCAGTCACTTCAAGGATGCCATCCATCCATCTTGCCCTTGGTCGGCCCCTCTTCCTTTTGCCTTCCACTTTCCCCAGCATAATTGTCTTCTCCAGGCTTTGCTGTCTCCTCAAGATGTGGCCAAAGTACTTCAACTTTGTCTCTAGTATCCTTCCCTCCAATGAGCAGCCAGGCTTTATTTCCTGGAGGATGGACTGGTTGGATCTTCTCGCAGTCCAAGGCACTCTCAGAACTTTCCTCCAACACCACAGTTCAAAAACATCTCTCTTCCTTCGCTCAGCCTTTCCTAAGGTCCAGCTCTCACATCCGTAGGTGACTACAGGGAAGACCATGGCTTTGACTAGGCAGATCTTTGTTGCCAGTCTGATATCTGTACTCTTTACTATTTTACTGAGATTGGACATTGCTCTCCTCCCAAGAAGTAAGCATCTTCTGATTTCCTGGCCACAGTCTGCATCTGCAGTAATCTTTGCACCTAGAAATACAAAGTCTGTCACGGCCTCCACGGTTTCTCCCTCTATTTTCCAGTTGTCAATCATTCTTGTTGCCATAATCTTGGTTTTTTTGACGTTTAGCTGCAACCCGGCTTTTGCGCTTTCTTCTTTCACCTTGATTAGAAGGCTCCTCAGCTCCTCCTCGCTTTCGGCCATCAGAGTGGTGTCATCTGCATATCTGAGGTTGTTAATGTTTCTTCCAGCAATTTTCATCCCAGCTTTGCATTCATCCAGCCCCGCACATCGCATGATGTGTTCTGCATAAACGTTAAAAAGGTTGAGTGAGATTATGCAGCCTTGCCGTACGTAGTCTGTAAATAAAGCTAATTGGTTTATTGCTTTATGGCTGTGTGTCGGAGCAGTTTTATCGCCTCCCAACCATCAATCAACCAACAGGTTGCTTCTCCCCAGTGGATGTCAGGTGGTGCAATACCAACTGTTCAACATCTTTATTAATGACTTATATGAAGGGTTAGAAGGCAGGATCATCAAGTTTGAAGACGACACCAAATTAGGAGGGAGAGCCAATACTCCAGAGGACAGGGGCAGGATTCAAAACGATCTTGACAGATTTGAGAGATGATTGGCCAAAACTCACAAAATGAAGTTCAACAGTGACAAATGCAAGATACTCCACTTTGGCAGG